TACTCAAAAAAGAACAGGGGGACTCAGAAGGGGGTGAGTGTGATTTGGAGTGGGATTTCAAAGGAAGGGCCTATGAAGAGGACAGGCTGATGTTTAGTTGTTCCATACATCCGAGCCCCCTCTACAGTTGCCAAGCATTCTCTATGGCCTCATTTCATGTGCGCACTCGCTTGTTGAGCATCTACTATATGCCAGGCACATTTCCAGGTATAGCAAGTAGAGTAACAAATAAAACAAACCAAGTCTTGCTTCTTGGCAACAAATTCTAAAATATAATGTCTGGCTGTTTTAAGTATCATGAACTCTCACAGAGTGGGTGAGGGCATAGAGGATGAGTACATGTGTATCTAAAAACATTTACTAGTAAGAATTGGTTATGTGAGTATAGAAACGGACAAGTCCCAGGATGCGCAGCCAGCAAACTGGAGGGCCAGGGGAGCTGATGATACAGACCCAGACCAATAGGCCTGAGACCAGGGAGAGCTAAGATTTAGTTCAAGTCCAAAAGCAGGGGGAAAAAATATCCCAGTTTGAAGACAAGCAGAGAGAATTCTTTCTAACTCAGCCTGTTTCTCCATGCAGGCCTTCAAATTGGGTGAGACCCACTCCCGTTAGGGAGGGAAATCAGTTTTATTCCGTTTCTTGGTTCAGATGTTAATCTCAGCTAGAGACACACTCAGGATAATGTTTGACCAAATAGCTGGCACCCTGTGGATCAGCCAAATTAACACTTAAAATTGATCACCACAGCCTCTCTAAGAAGGCATCAATTTGAGAAGGTGCCAGTGAGCACTGGGGCCAAGCTGTGGGGATGCAGGAGAGAAGGTCATCGGGCAAAGGTGACAGCAGGTGCCAAGCCCTGAACAGAGGTGCAGCTGGCAGTGTGAGGACCCACAAGGCCGTGGGGTGGGGTGGGTGTGAGGTTACCTGTGGCTTCCTTGGCCACGACAGAAACTGGATTTAGTATGAGGGAGATAGGAGATGCCCAAGATGAAAGTTTGAAGCAAAGACAGGATGGTCTGGATTGCTCTGGCCCTGCTTGGAGAATGGACTGTGGGAGCGATGGTGAAGGCAGCGGGAGCTATTGGGAGGCTGGCAGAGAGATGGTGAAGCAGGTTGGAGCCTTCTCACAGATGGACCCAGCAATATTCCCTGCTGAGCTTGAGTTGAAGGGAGAGAGGAAGAAGTCGGGGATGACTCTGACTGAAGATTTTCCCCTAAAGCTGGATTTGCATTTCCTGATGTAACAAGTGAGGTCCCATAAGGAAAACCCACAGTGCTGTGCAGCGTGTAGTGAGCGCTTGGTAAAGGGCAGTGCTGGAAATGCCAGTTCGGATGGAGGAGCCTGGGAAGAGGGCCACAGTGATGCCAAAGAAAGAGCCCTGGGGGAGAGGCTATGCAGGACAGGAGGTGGCCCAGGCTCCAAGATCTGTTGGTTCAGCGAAAACCCACCAGGAGAAGGTGCTCTCCTGTCCCCTACCCGTGGTGTCCCCCCTCCTAGTGGGAGCAGGGCCCAAGGGAGCCAGGGAATGGAGTCCCAAGATTTCACGGGGACCATGCTGGTGGGGGTGGAACCAAGCACAGCTTGGAAGCAGCCAGAGCTCACAGCAGGAGGTGGCGGTAATTGTCTGTCCTGTCCTGTGGCAGGCAGCACACTCATCCCCTGACCCAGGTGTCTGCTGCGTCCAGTTTGGGGCCTAGCCCCAAGATGAACATCTGGGAAAGGGGCGCCACTCCCTGGCAGGGAAGGATTCCCTCCTCTTCCCCTGAGAAAGCCAGCAAAGCCCCCCACAGGGAGGCAGTGTGGGTGCCACTCAAGCCTCATGGCCTCATGTGGCCCCAGGTACTCCTCTGCAGCCTGCCCTGTGGCTGCCTCCTGCTACGATGGCCTCTGCTAACAAGCTGGGCAGTACCATGTTGGGAGTCTGGAGCAGGCCCCTGGCCACCCTCTCCAGCAGGTCTCAGTTGCCTCCTCAACCCCTTCAGGAAAAGCGAGAGATCCACTGACCCATCCTGAGCACTGCAGTACACTGGAGGCAGAAACCAGCCATTCACACACCCTCGGGTCGACCCTGCTGGGATCTCTTCTGCTTTCTACAGCAGTGGCCTCTAGGCCCTCCAGGTAAGGCAGGTAAGACTCCAGCAGGCTGGCTCGGGGACTCCTAGTGAGCTTTGCTGTCCTTGTATGTCCTGGGAGCAGCAGGCCACTGTGCAACATGGGAGCATGGCTGCCTCTTTTGTGGAACAGCCTTTTGAGGTAACAGGAGGGGTTGGATCAGGTTGGCCTCCATCTGACAGTGATGTCCACATGAGGAGACCAGAGCCACGCCTGAAGCTCCAAGGTGTCTGTGCTCAGTGTCTCATCCAATGACAACATCTTCCTCTTGGACTTCTCAGTGTTTTGAGACTCTGGGAGAGTCTAGCGAGGTCAGGGTGAGCTCCAAAGACTCTGGGCTCCACTAGCTGACTTTATAAACCCCGCTTGCAGGAGGCTACAAACTCCCCCAAGGCAGGAGTGAAAGCAGGGTGACATGGACCAGAAGGAGAACTTAGGTCAGATAGCTTCCTGTGCGGGTGCGCTGCAGCTCTGCCTTTAATAACTGGCCAGGTAAGAATGGGGCTGATGTGAGGAAGGTGGAGGGGATTAGGGCTGGGATCATTGCTCCACCTGCCTTTTGGGGCTCCCATCTCTCCCCACTCCCTGCTTTTTCTCCTCAGCCCTGGCTCTCCCCATCCGAAGGTGCAAGACCAGCCCAGGAGGGGCCATACCCCCCTCCTATGCAGCAAAGGTGCTGTCTCCTTTGGATCTTTTTGCGGTCTGGGCTTGCTGTTTCTTGCAACAGTAGTCAGGAAGCCCTTACCCCAAAAAGTATCTACGGGAGGCCAGGTCCACAGCAGAGACTCCTGAATGCTCACGGTGAGTGATACAGCAACCCAGGAATGAGTGGAACTGGCTGTTTCGTAGAGTTGCTGGGTAACCTTAGGTCAACTGCTGAGGTTCTCTCTGCTTCAGAGTTATGCAACCCCCTTAATCATTTCCTAGCAGGCCATGTCTAGTGAGGAACTCCACACGATAAGGACAAAGGAGTGGGTCCAAGACAGGCCAGGAAGACCACGAGGTAGACATTGGTGCCCTGGCTCTCCCACGTTCTGTCTTCTGCCTGCACATGGCCAACCTCTGAGCTCCTTCAGGGGAATGACCCTTCCTGCACTGTGGGCACTCGTGGTAGGACTGTTACTCAAAACATGCTGCCCTCCCTGCCCGCAGGTAGACATGAGACCCAAGACAGGCCTGGAAATGGAATCCCTTGCAGAGGGCTCAAGACTGATTGATATCAACAAACTGATTGATACCAATTGAATGTAGCAGCTGCTCAACGAGAAGATTAGGAGCTTCTGCCATCTGGATCACTGAGAAGATTTGTGTCTGCTCATCTCCAGCCTGAACCTTTGATTGCCCCCTTCATCCTGTGAACCATCCTCAAATCCTTCAAATAAAATCTTTGATTGCTGAAGTTCAGCAGAGTCTATAAGATTACTAACCTTGGATATAGAGACCTCTAGAGGGAGGAGGGAGGATTGTGTGCCTTGGAGAAGAGGCGGGAAGGACCGACCTGGGGGAAGGTCTGAGTCACCATTCTTGGGGAAGGCTGGTAGACAGAGAGACAGGGGCCATATGCAAGGGTTTGGGTTAGGGCCCAAGGAAACTCCCCTAAAGGTGAGAACCATGTTCGGATAAAAGAGAGAAAAGGACCTATATAATACAGACAGATTTGGAATAAGGTCAATGAAGTCCTTATTTTCCAAAGGAGACAGAAGATAGGTTATGACAATATCAGGTGGCCGTGGGTTTCCTGTCCCTTCTAATAATGCAGGGTAGCTGGGTGGTCACTTCTGTAGTTGCGATGAGGCCACACTGGTGGGTGGGTGGGTGGGGGAAGCACCCGTCTCACTTCCCACCACAGAGAGAAGTCCTGAGTACCTTGTGCTCTTGGCTAAGAGAGAGCTGGGCCCCCAGTGTCAGGCCTACTCCAGGTCCTATGCTTGTTACAGAGCCACAAATCTCAGAAGTAGGGCACCTGGAAACTTCCTTCCCTAAGCAGAAGCTGCTACAGGCAACCCTAAGGCAACTTGGGAGGTGTTGTGTGGCCCCACACTGAGTTCAATGGTGCTGAGGGACCCTGAGTGGTGCTGGGGGTTCACTGTGGAATTCGAAAGGAGGGCTGGGCATGTGGGTCAGAAGCAATGGCTGTAGGTATGTGAGGCAAACAGCCCCTACCTGGACACAGGCAGACATCTATGGGAGCAGGCAGGACAGCGACAGGCAGTGCGGCGGGGCCAATTTGTGCCTGTGACCCATGCAGTTCCTGCCCACCCCGCTGCAAAGCAGGTCTTGCAGGCCACCTGCCCAGTGTGCAGATAGGCAGTGTGTGCAGCTCAAGGGTGGCATCGTGTGGTCATAATGGGGTAGTGCACCCAGGCCACCATCACAGGCAAGGTTGCTCAGCTTTGCCTGACTGGGGGACTGTTGTGGAATCCAAGAATCTTTCCCAACGAACAGGAGTGTCTGTGCAGAGCAGTCCTGAGGGGAACAGAGGCTGAGAGGGGAATAGAGAAGGTGAGCAGGAGGAGATTGCTGGAGGGGACGTGGCCTTCAATAAGGGCGTCTAGTCTGCTGCTTTCTGGGATCGAGTCACCCCTCAAAGTGGGTTTCTGGGCCCATCCCCAAGAAATTTGACTGTCCTTAGCCCTTTACTTGAGAATCTCAAGTTGCACCCCTGCCACCGTAGGGAGCTTGTTCCTGCCAGAGGACATTATTCAGAAAAGACTCCAGGTTCCAGTGGTCATGGAAAGAACCTGGAATTCGGGTCAATCAGATCTGGAGTCAGATATCATGTGTCCCCATACTAGCTGTGTGACCTCGGGAGAGTCCTTAAGCCTCTCTGCGCCTCAGTGTCTTCATCTGTAAATCAGAGATAATAATGCCTGTCAATGAGATGAGGTTGGTACAATGAATGACCCCTCTCATGTGAAGGAGGCCCCCAAATCTGTTCTAGAGGGTGTCAGCTAGGGGTGGGATCAGCTTGACCACCCGCGCATGGCTGTGTCTTTCTACATTTGTGTGTGTGGCATTTAGCAATAAGTTGTTGACTGAAAGCAGCAATGGCAGCTGTCTCCTACCTCTGCCACCCAGACAGACGAGGTATGCGGTGTGCCCTGACCCAGGGCGCTGGGGAGGGAGCAGGGCTACAGCTCACCCAGGCAGAAAAGACTTGAAGAAGGCAGAGGGCGCTGTCTCCCCGCAGCTCTTCCCCAGTGTGGGAGCCAGGGGGAGGGCAGCGGACTGCTGTGTCCTGACCTGCGGGTCGTGTGGGCCTTGGACAGGGAGGAAGAGTATGAGAAGGTGGCACAGAAGAGGTCCAGGAAAGTCAAAAAAGAAAGGGAGTGGTAAGGGGAAATGGGAAGCCTCTCTAGGTGGCTGAGCTAGGGTTTCTGCATCTGTAAACAAGCGGAATGTGCTGGTTTCTTTCTCTCAGCTGCCACCTCCCCCTCGAAACAAGGGGCAAAGAGTGGGTCTCCAATGCTGTGCTTGAGGATGGGCACTGCCTAGGGCATGGGAGGGGCTTCTGAGCCTGGAAGCCAGGAGGCGAGGCAGGCTGGGCAGGTTCTGGGGGGAAGGAGGCAGAGAAGTCAGCAGCAGTGGGATCCCCAAGCCCAGTTGGAAGAAAAGTCAAATACACCTGAAGCTATTGTGACCCATGGCCCTGATGACACACAATCCTACATACCCGGATGATACAGTTCTACATCTGTTTCCATCCTGCTATCTGTAAGATGATCAGAGCCTTCGGGGCTTCTTTGTTCTTCCCAAGAGGCCTGGGCTGGGCTGGGCCTGGGATGGGAGAAGTAAAGTCAAAGGCTTCCCAGATGAGTTAGCATGTCAGTTGGAGGGGAAAGGACAGTGGCCATTTGGTGCTTTCATTTTTGCCTACTCTGGTGTGGACCGACTGACAGTTCTTCTCTCTCCTTTTCATTTCCTTCCCTTCTTTTTTCCCCAGTGTCTATACTTTGTGTGGCCAGGAACAACCTCGGATGGAGTTCTTCCCTTCGAGAGTCCCTGGGGGTAAGTGTGCCCATCCTGTCAGGTGTGCTCCAATAGAGAGCTGAGGTCAGGGAACACTCAGGACAGGGGCCGGGACCCCCAGCCCAGGCCCCAGCTTGGGCTGGAGTCAGGCTTGTTTTATCTTCAGGGTACCCTGTGCCAGACCCTGTGAGCCTCCTTTGCTTCGAGACCCTGTAATCTCTTTCTGGATTCCTTTTGAGATGGGACTGACAAGGCCAACTTTCCAGACACCACACTTCTGTACTCAGGCTTCTAGGACAGTGGCTCTTAAAGTATGAATCACTTCAAGAGCTACAGTCCGAATCCCCTTAGATCCCCAGGTCTCAGTGTCAAGGGTAGGCTGGAGAGGGCAGGCACCGCCTTGGGAAGGCCAGTCGTGCACATCCCCTCCCCAACTCCACACTCAGTGACAGTCACACTAGGGGCTGGAAAATGGCCAGGGCTTCACACTGTGGACAGAGCCAGACACTTTGGATCCGTGCTTGTTTTTCTTTTCAGAGAGACTGTCCTTCGCCCATTTCCAGCACACCACTGGGCTCCATCCGGAACTATTGAATCAGAAACTCCAAAGAGGGGGTCCAGCAGCCTGTGCTTTTATTTGCTTTCCAAGCCATACTGAGCCACACTGCAGCACGAAAAGCACCGTTCCCTGGGACAGCTCTGGTAGAATCATAGGAAAGAAATCTAGGGGTTGGAGATAGAAAAGGGAGGTGCTGGGTGGTCGAGAAGGGTCTTGCAAGGAAACTTGGGAAAGGTAAAGAAAGAAGAGGAAAGTAAATGAGACCCTGGGGCTTCCCTCTGGGCAGACAGTTCCCCTGGATGGAGCTGAGGCCTCCAGCGGCTGCCCAGTAGGTTGGGTCAGCCTACTTCACGTGTTCCCCTTTTTCTGTATATCTGGATGATGGTGATAGTTTCAATTTCTCTGAGTCATGAGATCAGAATGGCATGGGATAATTGGCTGGAAAATATCCCTGAGGATACATATTTCTGCAACAAGGAAGAACACATTTTGGGCATTTCATGGAACATACAAGGAAGGAGAATCTAAAAAATTTCTTTCAGGGAAGAAATTAAAATGGGAAATCACAGTAGTTTACCTGTTACTATTCTTATAAATGTGTGCAAAATGCGAGTGGAATTCTCTTTCCTTTTTTCAATTTTGAAATACTTCAAGCATACAGCAAAATACAAGGAAAAATAAAAAGCCTTTTACTCACCAAAAGAAATGCTAACATTTTGCCACATTTATGTCTGATTATTTTTAAAGAAATAAAACCTTCCAGAAACATTCAAATCCCCTTTGTACACCTTCTCCTTCCTCCAACTTTGCAGCAACTATCCTGAAATTGGTGGGTGTTCTCTTACACATGCTCATAAATTAGACCTAGCAATACTTGGAGTGCTTTTAATTCACATAAATGGTGTCACACTGACCATATTGTTCCAGGACTTGCTTTTTTTAATCTACCCATGTTGATAGGTTGAGTTCTAGTTCCTTTTAACTGCTGAACAACATTAAACTGTACAAAGAGACCACAATTCATCCACTCACCTACTGATGGACATTTAAGTTTGGCTATGGTTAAATAAAGGATGAATAATAGGAAACAGGGAGATGGATTTTTTGCAAATGGGAAGGGGATCTACAAGTAGAGAGGAAAGAGAGGGAGGGGCAGGGGACATAAAAAGAACACAAATATGTTATGTGCACGTATCAACTCCCCATGATGAATTGTAGTCGTTATGTACTGCAAACATGTACTAATAAAAAAAAGTTTGCTATGGTTTGTTCCCTCTGAAATGAGTTGAAATTTGATGGTAATGGTGGTAATGTTGAGAGGTAAGAGGTGATTGAGTCATGAGTGCATTAATCTATTCCTAGGTTAATGAATTATAGAAAGAATAGTTTTGTTTTCAAAATGAGCTCCCTCTAGCTAGCTTGCTTTGTCTCATTGTGTGCTGCCCTCTGCCATATTGTGATGCAGCAATAAGGTGTTAAGGTTTATATCTAGATGTCCTGAAGAGCCTCACGTGCTCATAGGCAAGGCATTTGGAAGGTGATTGGATTGTGGGGTTTATAGCTGACTTGCTGTTAGGAGGTGGGGTCTGGTCAGAAGAGGCGGGTCCCTGGGGTCATGACCTGGAAGGGTTTATCTCCCTCCCCTTCCCTGTCTGCTTCCTGACCACCATGCTAGAAGCAGCTTCCTTCCACCCAGGCCCCTTCCACCATCCTGTTGACCATTCAAAAACTAAAATTTCTAATCTCTTCCTTTAAATTGTGGGTCTCAGGTATTTTGTCCCAGAGATGAGGAAAATGACTAAGACACCAGGTGCCAAGCAGATGCCAGCATCATACTCTTGGACTTTCTAGCCTCAGAAATCATGAGCTAAATAAA